ATGCTTGAGTTTCTTTCCATTCTGAATGCCTCCCTATAAGACAGAGATTGTGAATTTTTGTTAATGTGAAAAGGGAACATTCGGGCACCTTTTCTGTCCTGCTGAAATGTAGGGCTATTTTTATTTTTTGTTCTTTGCTGTTTTTCTGTGCTTGTGATTTTAAAGGTGCCAGACTGACTGCCCTGGAGGCCGGTGTCCCTGATTTCTTCCAAGAATAGAAGAAGTACACGAGAGGCAGCAAATCTGATTGTATCTGGGTCCAGCGCAGTCTGACCCACTCTGGAAGAACATTCCCCCGAAAATAAAGAAGTTTATTCCTTAGAAATACAGTCCATCTGCTTTCAAAGCTAAGGCGAGAAAACCTTGTTTTGCCAGGACCCAAATCAGTGCAGAATTTTAGGATCCACGAAACCACCCCTGCTCACTCATCTTTGGAGGAACTAGAATGTTTTTCTCTCTTCCATCTCTGCTTGTCAAAATTCCATCCTTTAATATCAGACTCAAATGCCTCTTTCTCCACGAAACCTTTCTTGAGCCCTTTCAGATACTTTCTTCTCTCCACATTTCTGTAGCACCTTCTCATATGGTCCTTTGCACGTTGGGTCCTGTGGTTGTTGGATGTACATACTTTTATAATGACTGTAAAAGGCAGTGATCTTGTCTAATCCATTTCTGTGTATCCCACAGAAGCAGAACATTGTACTGGGTGAAGAAAAGGCACTTGGATTGTCTGTTGAATAGGTGAAAATCTCAGTTTACCTTTTCAGACTGACCTTTAAGGCTCTGCTCCAGCCTTTCTTTCTAATCAGTAATAGCAGTTGACTCCTAGAAGCTCATGGGTAGCTATCAGCCTGTCCATAGACCGTGTAGGCTCAGGCTCTTGGATTCCAGATATTAAACTTTGGGCATCCATGGTCTGGATCAGAATTGCTACCTCTGGCTGCCTGCTAGACCTCCATGGCCAGCAGTTGTTAACATTTAGTGAGAACTATTTTTTCCACAGAGTGTGGTCCACAGAGCATTACTATTCCCTGGTAGACTAAGTAGTCCTCTTTGAAGTTTAGAAAGGGAAAGAGTAATATTTTTTTTTTTAATTTTGTTGCTTGCATTTAAAATATTTGAAATGTAAAATTATAATTTTCAAAAGAATCCAATGTGCTTTTAATAATCATTGCATTCTTAAAAGTTGCACATGTATGACAAAACCTGTGGTGATTGGTGTGTTTTAACCAATGTTCAGTAACAGTGCCATTCAGCTCAGAGTATTGTCATGTCGTTTGTACTTTTTACTTCTGCTGCTAAACTTGCATTTTTTAGGATTACTATTGTATTGCATTATTTCTTCAAGTTCACCAAAATAGATCTGCAATGTGAATATGGTTCATTGAAGGAAAAAAAAAATAGTGACAACAATAGTACCAGAAAACCATTTCATAATAACATTCCCATTGGGCTGAGCCGCTGCTGAAGACCTCTTTAAAGTGTTAAAAAAACAAAGTTGTCACTTTCAGGATTAAGGTGTGCCTGACCCAAGCCATGGCATTTTCAGTTGCCTCATATACATGAGAAAGCTGGACAATGAATAAGGAAGACCAAAGAAAAATTGATGCCTTTGAATTATGGTGTTCGCAAAGAATATGGAATATACCATGGACTGCCAGAAGAGTGAGCAAATCTGTCTTGGAAGAAACACAGCCAGAATGCTCCTTAGATGTGAGGATGGCGAAACTTCGTCTCATGTACTTTGGATGTGTTATCAGAGGGGGCCGGTCCCTGGAGAAGGACGTCATGCCTGGTAAAGTAGAGGGTCAGTGAAAAAGAGGAAGACCCTCAATGAGATGGATTGATACAGTGGCTGCAACAATGGGCTCAAACACAGCAACGATTGCAAAGATGGCGCAGGACCCCAGGTAGTGTTCCCTTCTGTTGTACATAGGGTGGCCATGAGTGAGAGCGGACTTGAAGATACCTGACAACAACAACAACGTGGACTGGTTATCCAGTTGCCCCAATTCCCAGTACGTTTTCTGTTATGAAACATTGTCAAATGGTAGCATCAGTTCTCAGAATTTTAGCATCATTGTCAAGCACAGCACAGTGAACTTTCAGCAAACCAATTGAGTATTTTTTTTTTCCAGAGTGATCACAAAAATAATGTCATATGAAATAACAGTTTTGTTACTGAAGGCAGGAAGTCCAAAACTGTAAAGCCATCCTTCTAAGTTATACATCATTCCAAGTTATACATCATATAATAAAAACAGGTACAAGTTAAGTCTTGGATTTGTTGCTGTTGGTTGGTTCTTAGTAGCTTGTGAGAACAGCCACAAAGTTTATTACAAATATTGTACAAAATTATTTTATCGAATGACAAGGATATGATATCAAGACTTCATAATAGTATCAGCTTTGTAGAGACAACTGAATTTCCAAGAGCACTTGGTATCTCCAGCACTTGATTTTACTTACACCTTATAGAAAGAAATTAATAATGTATAATTTGGGCCATACTTTAAAGACACATCAAATCCTGCAACAGAATATAGGGGAATACTTTCCAGGGCCAAATGCAACTAGAGATGATTAGAAGTATATTTGCCTCTTTTCTTCCAAATTGAAACATTTAGCTTTCTCATATTTGAGTGTGAAACAGTTGTCAATCCCATGTGATGGAGTGCTGAAAGGCAGTCTTCAGTGAGAAATCGCTACGTGATGCTAGATCTGTGTTCAATCTTGATGCACAAAACTAATAAGAAATATAATGTAGTGGTTGAGAGCATAGATGCTGAAGCTAGACTCCTTGAGTTTGAAATTACTTAACCACTTTATGACTTAGTTCCCTCAACTATAAAATGGAATAATAACTGTCCCTACCTCGTAGGGTTGTTGCGAATATTAAATAAATTAACGTATATAAAGCACCAAGAACAATGCTGTAAAAATGGCATGGCAGGAGGCATCTGACCTCTTCTCTCTTCACATTGGGGAAGGAGAAACAAGATCAAGGCTGATTCCTATGAGGCGGAGGTCAGACATGCCTCCTCTCTCCTCCATCTTTACCAGTTCTGACACCAACCGTCCCTCCCACGGTGCTCTGTGCTTTTCTGCTGGGTTCGCTAATGCATTGCAATGGCCACACAGAACACTCTCTCTCTCTCTGTCTCTGTCTCCTGGCAGGGATCCCAGGTCCAAAGTATGCACTCTACTCCTGGCTGTTCTTTTTTGGTGATGTGAGATCCTCTCCTTCTCACCTCTGGGATGGTTCATTTCAAGCCCAGTGGGATGGCAAAACTGACCAGTCCCCTTGGTGGGCCGCAATTACCTTATTAGCATAATCCCACCCAATCACTTGGGCAGGAGTTATAAGACCATAGCGAGAAAGGCCACACAAAAGCAATCCATCACACTGCAAATGCCTAATATATATGAAGCATTATGTTTGCTATAACTTATCAGTAAGAGCCTGAAAGTTCTTCCTGACATTTCCAGTGACCTGTAATTACATATTAGGATTTTCTAACTTAGTAGAAATAAAGATTAAGAAGGGAAACTGAATGTGGAGCCGGATATAGATATCTTGGTGAAAATTGCAACTAGCATCATGCCTGTCACTGATCAAAATATTTCTATTAAATTTTATTGTTATTATTTGGAAATTAACATGATTTTTTTAAACCTAAATCCGGTATCCATATGTAGACCAGATGCCCTATTAAGTGATCTAAAAATACTGGAAGTCTGTAGAATGCTGGGCTGAACAATGGCAACCAGGTCCGGGAGGTGACTCAAAACTCTACAGTATATGGAATTGGTGCAGAATTTAGGGATGTTCAAATAAGAACCATTGCGGAGGCAATGATAACCTAACTCTAATATCTTGAAGGCAGTCAAGTCCAAGAGAGATAAGACTTGATCTGTGAGGCTGCAAAGACAGAAGTAGAACTATTGGGTAGCAGTTAGAGTGAAGAGGCATTTTTTGGTTCAAAGTGGGAAAGAACTTCCTACCAGCCACATCTGTCTTGAAAATAAAAGGAGCTGCCTTGTGATCTGCCTGCCCCTAAGGGCTACAGCAGAGGTTTTTACAAACAGGGCTTTTGTGAAGGGGATTAAAGTTTGAGTTTGGACCCCATTCCCTCACAGTCTAACTGGACGCACAGACTTTCCATGGAGAAGGGCTTTCCTAGACTGTTTGTAGAGCCTGCCTTCCACTCCTAGCATCCCGAATCATGTTCCTTTTACACTTGCCTGTGAGATTAGAGGCAGAGGAGGTGTAGTGGAATGAGCACTAGACTCCAGATTAGGAGACCTGAGCTTTACTCAGTTACTTTCTGTGGAACTTTGGGCTGGAAGGGTTAATTTCCTCAACTGAGTCATGTAAAAATCCCCATCATGCCAGTCTTATAAAAGATTGAAAAATACCAGTTGCCTCTGAGTCAGCTTCAACTGATGGAGACCCCATGTGTGTCAGAGTAGAACTGGGCTCCGTAGGGTTTTCAGTGACTGCTTTTTTGAAAGTAGGTCGCCAGTTCTTTCTTCTGAGGCACCTGTGGGTGGATCAGAACCACCAATATTTGGTTAGCAACCGAGCATTTTAACCATTTTCACCACACTGGGAGTCCTTTATAAATGATAAACCTGTTGTCCTCCAGTCAGTTCCTACTCACGGTGACCCATGCGTGTCAGGCTAGGACTGCACTCTAGGGTTTTCAATGGCTGTCATGTTATGGAAACTGATTGCCTGGACTTTGTTTCGTGGCACCACTGAGTGGACTAGAACCCCAACCTTTTGGTTAACAGCTGTGTGTATAACCATTTGCACCCCCTGGGGACTCCTTTACAAAGAAAAGATGGTAGTGGCTATGCAGGTGAACATGTCAGTGGTGATTATGGCGATGGTGGTCCTGTTGATGCTGCTGACATGACGAATCTTGTGTCTCACTCACACTGGCTTATTAGAAGGACTGGAGATGTTCTAACAATGAATCCCCTTTCTCTTTCAGGCCGCTGTGCTCGCTGTGGGGAAAACGTAGTTGGGGAAGGCACAGGCTGCACTGCCATGGATCAGGTCTTCCACGTGGATTGTTTTACCTGCATCATATGTAACAACAAGCTCCGTGGGCAGCCCTTCTATGCGGTGGAAAAGAAAGCATACTGTGAGCCCTGCTACATTGTAAGTTCTAGATTTGTTCCTCGGGTGTTTGGTACAGACCTCATCTTTCGCTGGAATGTAACCATCCCACCGTTCTTTCTCCCCAGACCTTAAAAAACATGTATGTGAAGTGAATCAGCACGTCTTCATTTATTCCTTCTTTCTGTGCCCTGCTCATTTGAGGTCAGAAAGGGATGGGGCTGCCATTCAGTTGGTGGTCTGCTGGGAAGGTCCTCCTCCTGTGACTTTCAAGCATGTACTTACAAGCTAGCATGTTTCTCCCTGAAGCATCAGACAGCTTCCTAAGTAGCAAAGTTGCACTTCTTGCTATTAGACCTCACCCTACATTTGGAGTTCCCAGTGCTTTTACGGAAACTTTGCAGGGCCTCTGGACTCGTCAATGTTCTGTCAAACTCCTGGGCCTTTGAATCACCTCTTAGGCTACCCAGGATGTTCTTACTTCCCATTCCCCAGCAGACTTTCGGTGATGCAAACAGAGACACCCTTTATACGGAGTACCTTAAAGGGAAGTGAGCCCCACACATCTGTCAGTTTATCGTACTGTGGTGGCTTGCATGTCACTGTGATGCTGGAAGCTATGCCACCAGTACTTCAAATACCAGCAGGGTCACCCATGGTGGGCAGGTTTCAGCTAAGCTTCCAGACTAAGACAGACTAGGAAGAAGGACCTGGTGCTCTACTTCTGAAAAGAATTAGCAGTGAAAACCTTATGAATAGCAGCAGAGCACTGGCTGATATAGGGCTGGAAGGCACTCAGAAATAACAGCGATGGTGAGGGTGGCTCAGGACCGGGCCGTGTCTTGTTCTGTTGTTCATAGGATCACTATGAGTCAGAACCAACACAGTAGCACCTAACATTACATAACATGAAGGGAAATGAATAGTGATGCTGGCTGAGCTAATACGTGTTTTCTTTTTTTAAAATAACACAACTATATTTTAATAACATAGCTGTGTGACTCTAAAAAATACTCATAGTGACATTATCTTAAATTTTTTGCAAGGTTACCTAATCTACCCATTAAATTGTCCTCTGATAGAGAGATGTGAAGAATGAGCACAAACTTTTTTTTTTAACCTAAAGTAAATATCTTTTCTATTCTTCTGCATGATTTTAATCTCTGTTTAACACTAGCTGGAGCCCTGGTGGTGCAATGGTTAAGTGCTACAGCTGCTTACCAAAAGATCAGCAGTTTGAATCCACCAGCCACTCCCTGGAAACCCTGTAGGGCATTTCGCCTCTGTCCTATGGGGTCACTATGAGTCAGAATCAGCTCGACGGCAACAGGCTTGGTTTTTGGTTTTTTGGTTTAACACTAGTTAGTGGGGGAAAAAAAGTAGTACTTTTTTACAAGCCCACAAAATATGTATGTTTTGTCCATCAGCACCTATACATTTCAACATAAAAGAAGCCTTGGGTGCAAGATATTGGAAGCTGTACATAACACTGCAGATCCCCAAGGTTCAAGTTTATTGCAGAAGTTTCTGACCTGGTTGGTTTCTTCCAATAACTGACATGTCTGAAGCTCTTTGCAGCCATGGGGTCTGCAGCACAGATCTAAAATTTCTTCCAATTAAGACTTTGTAGGATTTAATGTTGTTTTGCATCTTTTAGGTTGAGTTTCACTTCCATTTTTCTCCCCAGTGGCGACTTCAACGCCCATAGTGTCATTATACGGCCACAGAATGATGGTGCTAGAAGGAAAATCTTAAGATCATTTGCCTACATCTCCTCTCCTTAGGAGCATGAACACAGAGAGGCAGAGGGAAGGAGTGACTGTGTTCTATCTTTAGGTCACAGCCAGGCTTGTATCCGGTTGTTCATGGTCCTAGTCCCATATTCTTTACAGACACCACACAGTTTTAGTTTGCCCGGACCATGAACACAGTAGTATCCTGCTGATCTGGAATCACTGTGGAAGGAGCATTTACACAGAAGGGAAAGTCTAGTAAACAAAAGCTTACCTCTTTAGGAAATGAGAATATTTCAGATATCACTCCTTGAAATCTTTGTTTTAAACTGAGAAGCGTTACGTATCTCTCTGCCTTTGTACTGATTGTAATTTGCAATGGCTTGGGGTCATCACTGTGAAGTTATGTATTGCAGAGAGCTCTATGACATCGACGTCAGCACAGCCTCTGGAGACTCCTATGGCTGTTTGTCCTTACGCTAAGTGACCACAGACTGCTCTGTTTTTTGTATCTCTTGTGTCTGTTATTCATCCCTTTTATGACTAGATTGTTGGTTCTTGCTACTTCAGTGATGCTCTTGTGGCAGGCCTCTTCAATTACTCTTTTCATCCGTTATGAGCTAGGAATCATATAGACAGTGTTGGGAGATAATATAACATAGTGTTAAGAACATGGGTTTGAATTTGGCTCTGTCACTTAAAAGTTTCGTCTCCTTGGGAAAGTTACTTCAACTTGCTAAGCCTCAGTTTCTTTGTCGGCATAATGGAGGTAATTGAAGTTTTTACCCCAAAGGGTTGTGAAGAGTCCGTGAGACAATTCTTATTCATATAAGGTATACTCAGCTTGTTCAGGAGATGGTGGTGGAATTAATGTTATTCTGAGATCCATTTTGATAAGATTTGTGGCTTTATTTAGTATCTCTGAGTGTGAAGACCTCGATTGTACAGTGAGGAAAATTGTGTTAACCTCTCGTAAGTCCTCCCTCCCATTTTTAAATACTTTGCTTGCTTTCCCCAGTGTGTAACAAGATGGAAGAAAGTCTTATCTGACTACATAGTGGGTTTCTACAGTGTGTGGGTCCAGTTT